TTCCAGCGCGGCTGAATGAGTGAATATTACAGCAGAGTCCAGAGAACACACTCACAGCCGCTCACAGCCACGACACACAACAATGGCGCCACTTCCGCTGTGTGTCACAATCGAAACCGTCCGGCGCGAAACAACCTGCATAAACAACAGCACAGCCCCCCCCATTTTTACATCTCTATATAATTCTCAGGTCCTGCCTCAACAGTAAATTGTTTAAATGAATGCATTTAACTTTTCGTATGTACTCTTGTAATAATGAAATCTCTGCAGCTGAAGCACATTTGAATGTGTTGTGGGTAGGGCTGTCAGTTTAACGAGTTAACTTGATTAAATAAAAATAATGCGATTAAAATATTTAAAGCAGTTAACGCACTGGCCCCGCCCCCTGGCCTGTACGTCATCTTACAGTCCATACAGCTGACTGCTGACGAATATGATGCAGGGCCACAGCTCCATACATGCAGTTCTGCCCTAAAATTCAAGATATTGGTGCAAAAATGCCCCTGTATGTGTTTGTGTCTCATATTTAGTCTATATCATGATATGATAAGCGATCGAATGTCACAAGTGCAAATGTGATTTTATTTAAACATTTCAGTAAATAAGAAGTTGATATTGTGTTATATTTTAAACACGATATTATGTGTTTTTGCTCAATTTTGCAGAGAACATATTATCTTTAAAGCCACAGCACACACACACACACACACACACACACACACACATGCATGTTCTCTCAAGCTTTGCAAAGAAATATTATTAAAATTTATTTTAATAATATGACAATTTAGAGAACTTCAGCACAAAAGGGATTATACAGTGCTAAACACCAATTATTAGGAAGATTGTATAAAGCAAACAGCACAGCTTTCGTAGTTTTTACATCTCTATATAATTCTCAGGTCCTGCCTCAACAGTAAATTGTTTAAATGAATGCATTTAACTTTTCGTATGTACTCTTGTAATAATGAAATCTCTGCAGCTGAAGCACATTTGAATGTGTTGTGGGTAGGGCTGTCAGTTTAACGAGTTAACTTGATTAAATAAAAATAATGCGATTAAAATATTTAAAGCAGTTAACGCACTGGCCCCGCCCCCTGGCCTGTACGTCATCTTACAGTCCATACAGCTGACTGCTGACGAATATGATGCAGGGCCACAGCTCCATACATGCAGTTCTGCCCTAAAATTCAAGATATTGGTGCAAAAATGCCCCTGTATGTGTTTGTGTCTCATATTTAGTCTATATCATGATATGATAAGCGATCGAATGTCACAAGTGCAAATGTGATTTTATTTAAACATTTCAGTAAATAAGAAGTTGATATTGTGTTATATTTTAAACACGATATTATGTGTTTTTGCTCAGTTTTGCAGAGAACATAATTACATTTAAAGCCATTGCAGAATTGTTGTGCGTCTCTGAGCAACACAGTGTTTAGTTTCTGAATGAATCCGCGTTTTGAACGAATCGTGTGAACCAATGATTCAAAGATCCGTTCATAAAGAGAGTCGTTTACTTCATTCCTGAATGAATCAGTCGTTTGAATCAAATGAATAAATGACTCATAAAGACATTTACCGCCACCTGCTGGCAGATGTAGTTTCTTATTTAGAGTATCATTTAATAAAAATAAATAATAATAATAATAATAAAACATTAAAGGGATAGTTCAACCAAAAAATGAAAAGACGACTGTTGAAGACTGTTGGTAACAAAGCTGTGTTGGTTAGCAGTGACTTTCATCGTATGAATAGAAAATACTGAGATGTTTCTCAAATTATCTTCTTTTATGTTCCATAGTTTATGTTAGGCCGTTGTAGCCCAAATGTTTACGTGTAATAACATATTTCTAAAGCTACAATTTGTAATGTCTACATGATACTTTCTCATTCAACACAAAAATAGCTGCGTAAATAATCTCTTGTGGGTATTTTCACAGTCAAATTTATTTTGCGATTAATTAGATTAATTAATCGAAACATCATGTAATTAATTAGCGCTAGTTCTGGGTTGATCGCTCGGAAAGCGGAAGCAGCTCTGCAGTGACTCGTGTTTCCAGTACGGCGGAAAGCGGCGCTCCACAGGAAATGCCACGTGTACCAAGTGCGCATGCGCGCTGTCCGTGCTCCGCTCGACTTCCGCTGAGAGGAAGGCGCTGTTTATCACCGCGACGCTCGGCAGCGCGAGACAGAGAATGACCGCAGCCGCGGGCCTGTGAGACGCTCGCTGACCGATCCGACTTCACGATGTCCAGCGGCGGCTTCGCGTCACAGAACGGCGCCGGAGGCTCGTACGCGAACGGTGAGTAACTCGCGTCTGACGCGTCTAAACGCGCCGCGCTCAGGCTTAGAGTTTCTCCGGAGTTTGATCACTTCAGCGACGCGACGCGATCGGCCAGAGTTCTAGTGCGTCGCGTCGCTCGATGAAGGCCGAATCCTGTGATCTTCGAGTAAAGTTAACCACTAACGACTAGTCAAGCGGGTTAACCCAAGTTAGTTAGTGGACTAGTGACGCGGCTGTCCTCGATCAGATCGGTTCGGTTCGGTTCGGTTCTACAGTCCGGGGTTTGTTTGTAAATGTTAGATGTCATGAAATACGGTCTTACAGAATTAATTTGTCACAGTGCAGGAGCAAGTGAAAGTAAAAATGGTTAAATATGAAAAATTAGAAGCTTAACAGAAATGGTGAACTTTCACCTTCATATGCCGATAGCGCTGTCAAACGATTAATCGCGTCCACAATAACAGTTTTTGTTTACATAAAATATGCCTGTGTACTGTGTATATTTATTATGTGTATATATAAATACACATGCATGTGTATATATTTAAGAAAAATGTTATTTTTATATATTAAGTATATAATGTAAATGATATAAATATATACGTCAATGCATGTCAATATTTTCAATGTGTGTGTTTATATATACATAATACATATGCACTGTACACACACATATATACGTGACTCTGGAGCACAAAACCAGTCATAAGGGTCAATTTTTCAAAATTGAGATTTATACATCATCTGAAAGCTGAATAAATAAGCTTTCCATTGATGTATGGTTTGTTAGGATCGGACAATATTTGAACATCTGGAATCTGAGGGTGCAAAAAGATCTAAATATTGAGAAAATCATCTTTAAAGTTGTTCAAATGAAGTTCTTAGCAATGCATATTACTAATAAAAAATTAAGTTTTGATATATTTACGGTAGAAAATTTACAAAATATCTTCATGGAACATGATCTTTACTTAATATCCTAATGATTTTTGGCATAAAAGAAAAATGTATAATTTTGACCCATACAATGTATTGTTGGCCCAAAAAGCAGCATGTCATGGGACCTTTAAGACTGCTTTTGTGCTCCAGGGTCACATATATTATGTAAACAAACTTTTACTTTGGACAGCCCTAATTAATTAATTAATTTAAGTCAATGGACAAGTAATAAATCCAACTACCCAAATACCATGGTACATTAATATGGTAATTTATGGTATTTGCATCTGATAGCATGACTGTAACTGTACACTACACTCATATCATGTGATATCATGTGGGTTTAGTCTAAAAGAGCAGATAATGCATGTTTGCTCTTTATCATATTTGAACTCCATTCCTGAAAATGCTTCTCAGGGGAATACTGTGGCATCTTACTTTAGGCTTTTTTAAATTAAGATTATCTGTATTACCTGAATAATATTACCTGAATGTTTGCACATTTCAATTTGATATATTTGTATTTTAACAATAGGTATTATTTAAGCAGTTTTACAAAGAAAAATGCCTCACAAACGTCCCTATGGCAAACATATATATGTTATGCTGAATCGTGTTTATATGAGGATATAGACGAGGCTTAAACCTAGTCCAGACTAAAGTGTAAGTCTGAGCTGAAAGAAACTTGCACTGACTGATCTTAAAATATACCAGTGTCTCAACATGCACACTAGCGATGTGGCACATCTATAACAATTACTAAAGTGTCCTAATTGAACTATGGCCTGATCCTGATTTAGTCCAAGCCCTGGCTGTGAAACCAGGCCAGATCTGACATTAATAACTACCTAAATCATATGCAGGGGATTCCTGATGCTGCTGTGGGGATTTTTGTACAATATCTTCAACACAATGGTACAAAAACATTTGATTTCAAACTTTGATTATTAATTTTATGTATATATTTTTAATTATTTATAATGAATTATTTATGAAATTAAATTTATTTGAACTAAAAATGTAAAGAAATCTGAAAAATTGCAATGCTATCAAATAAACTTGTGTTTTCCACATCGAGCGTTTTGGCTTTTAAATACGGCTAGATTCATACCACTGTGTTTCATTCACTATATTAATATTAATGTTTTAGGACTTTACTGTGCAGCCGTGTGATTGCTGTCAGATAGCGGGTTATTCTGATGCTCTTCATTAGTTGACTGTGCATTATTTAAGGCTGTTCCGCTCGTTAGAAGAGAGTGTGACACACAGATCACTTTGAGTTTTGATTGCTCATTTATCCTCTTCCCTGTCTTGTTCCCTGACGTTCTCCTGAGTTAATCTGGTTAGGGGACTAGTCTGTGATGGTCAGTTAAACCCCTTGCGCTCTCAGTGTTTGGTTTGTAACGGACTCTTGTGTGTTTTGTGCCGTAGGTCCGTCACAGAACCCCGTAGGTGTTTTCCCGTCTAATCAGGGCTTCATGGCTCCGCAGCAGCCGGGCTTCATGAACACTCTGCCGATCAAAGGCCCGCCGCCAGCCATCTACTCCCAGCAGCCTCAGCGGCCTCCGCCGGCGGGGAACCGGCCCATCATGCACTGCAGCACACCGCCGCTCTTCCAGCCGCACGCTAACTCTGTGAACCACGGTACACCCCACACCAGCCTGCTTCACGCTTCTGAATGAAGCCTCTTCTGCTCACCACGCTGCATTCATCTCATACAAAACAGTCAAACAATAATACTGTTATTGTTTAATAACACACACGCGCACACACACTCACACACACACACACACACGCACACACACACACTCACACACACACGCACGCACGCGCACACACACTGACACACACACACTCATACACACACACTCACACTCGCGCACACACACACACACACTCTCACACACACTCACACTCATACACACACACACACTCATACACACACACACTCACACTCT